GTATTTTTATTAGCTATGATATTATGTACGAAGCGAAATTTTTTCATACAAGGCCAATTTTTCGGCGGATCATATCATCCTTTATCAGCTGCAGACAACATGAATTATAGCATGTCATGGTCGTACTGCAGTAAATAACTGAAAGACATCACTGGACTGGAGAACGGGAGTTGTAGTATCCATTTCAACAAAAGAGATTATAGGAAGAGTTCTAATTATCGACGTATTACCTTAAAAGAAAATTCAAAGAAAGTTCACGCGCCATTTAAAATTCGCACTTTTCCTGACAACAGATATTTATTTTTAATATTAATTTCTCTAGGCGACGACAGCTTCAGGTTGGATTTGTGTCGAACTTGAGTGTATTCCGGATTATTGGAAAATTAACCGAAGAACTCATTTTCGTAATTCAAATCATCACGCATAATTTCATATGGTTGCATTTAACAGCCTCATGTAATACATTTGTCATCACAGTATTGTCATTATTCCTATATCCACAGAGGGTCATCAGTATCAGAATCATTGTTTTCATTTGAAAGAACACTACTTGCAAACTGTATTAATCTATAACTGGTGGTTAAGCGAGAAAAAGAATTGACAACCGCCGATCAACGGTGGCTGTCTGAGTGATAATAACAAATGAGAGATTGATGTACAATTTACAGTCTACAACCTTTAGGCGTTCAAGACAAGACATGTAAGTTGATTCGCAATAAGGAGTTTTAGGGTAGAGTATTAAACTATTTTGATTAGTCAAATTATTTGACGTAATTTTAATCATGGTATAATATGGTATCATATTTATACGTACAAGTATGCCTGTTCTGTCAGAAGAAGAGTTTGGTGTAAATGGTTCGGCTTCGAGTATTGACAGTGTTTTTCAGATCCGGTTCATCTCCCAGACACAAGGTCTACCGCCCGCACATATGTTGGACAACGCTAATAAGACGCACAAATTTTTCAAACGCGATGGCAGCGCGCTCTATCCGTACTGGCGACTGAAGGCATTGCTGCGTCGATTAACGGTCAGCAGCGAATTTTCATGTTTGTTTTTTAGACAACTGAGGAACACGAATCAGAAAGCGGCATCAAATCGAAGGAAACGCGTAAATACGTCTTCAACTGTCTCGACGATATCGCGCAGGTAAAACATTGTAAATTTTGTCATGACAAATGACGTAGTAATCACTCTCCCCCTCCTTTCCTTGATGAACCCTTAACAGCCTTTCGCGATCTAGCGTCACTTGCTGACATCTGATATCAAATAAAATGCACTGACTCGTAATCTGTATGGAGTATCAATTATATTGAGGTATCTTCCTGACGGGCACCGTGAACGACGAGTTGTTCATTACGTTTTACGCGAATAATAAAGAGAGTATGTTTCAGCGATAAAAATGCTTAATGATAAGGTTAGACATTTTTTTACCCAAATTTTACAAAAGAACAAATTGCTATAGGTTTTAGATCTGCGTTTTCGTTCAAAAATGTGAATAGCTATTTATTAATAAGTTTAGCTCAAAATGAATTACAAGCAACTTAATATATGGATAGTGCTGATCCGTACTGACTTTAGACTTGATTCGGTGTTGCGGTTTTGCTTAGCTTTAAAATCTTGGAGTAGTGTGATGAGTTATTTTAAGAAATACATGGAGTGTAACGATCGATTATCGGCTATATTTCATGTTTACAATCTTGTCTCTTTGTTATGGCTTATGTTAGGGCCGTCGTAAAAGGTTGGTTTAACTTTCACCTTAAAAGTCTTTAGAAGTGTTCTGAATGCAAGAACGTTCTTTAGTGTGACCTCGTCATCAGCAGCAAGCAACTTGACGAAAAAATGTCGTTGAGAGCAAAACAGTACCTAAGTTTGTAATATCCGTTGAATATCTTTTGTTTTATGTGTGCTGCGCACACAGACCTAGAGCTAAAGCCATTTTTTGCTAGTGTCTCCTTTACTTTTCTTATAAAATCACCGCCACATCATGGCCTATGCAGATCGCAACAGCAAATCTGTTTTTCCATATTCTTTCATGACAGAATGGTTCTAGCTAATTAATCATTGGAAACTTTTGTAATTTTCTTCCTGCTGCTGCATTGGTTACTGTTCTCTGTTGTGTTATTTCATTGAGTTTTTTTTAATTCTTGATGAATAACACATTAATTAATGACTTGGAACTGTCACAAGACGAACACACTGTCCCTCCCCTTTCGCACAGCATGCTACAGATCATTAACTCTTCTGGGAAGGAAGAAATGAAGGCAAGTTTGAAACCGTTTTTATGTTTGTTGCCCTTACTAGCATGTACATGCTAGGCATGGTTTGTGTCGCCATTTCATAAGTGCGCCGCTGTTCTTCTTTTGAACGCCTCATGCACCAGTACCTTTTTTCCTGAAGGCACCATCTAAAGTTAGGTCCCCGGTGTAACAGGTAGTTTGTTCTGTTGTTTTCTCGTTAAGTAACATTGTTAACATTTGTTTATCTACATTGACATAGAGAAATAAGGTCGCCAGCCTCACTGGAATTCAAACTTTCTATCATTTGATACACGATCGATCGAACCGTCGGAAACAGACCTATCTATCCTCCATTTGAGGAGCATATCTTACGTATTGAACTAATTTTCATTATACGTTTTTTAAAGCATTCAGGCCAGATGGTCGCGGCTTCGTTATTATTTTTTTGTCCTAGGCAGAACTGTCTTAAAATGTGTTAAACTGTCGTTAACCCATAGTTTACTACTGTTACTAAGGCTTTATTACTTCATTAACCGGTAGTTTCAGATTTTCTATTGCACCTTCCGTAATAGCTCAGAGTATTCATTTAGCTGTAATTTGCCATGAAATTCCGTTATTCGATCGTTGCGCACAAGTACTTTTCACGCCGAAGTTATAACATTTACTCTGGGTGGCCTACTTTTCTTTAAAAGCTGCAAAATTTATTCATATGGCGGCATTGTGCCCTTAGTTTTTTATGATCTGATTATTTCTTCGTTTGCATTGGCTGCACTCGCCGTTTCGAATTTTCATTTCTCCGTTTTGACATCTTTGTTGTGAGACCTTCGATATTATACTAATTTTTATCCTCTTTGATCTTGTTTCTTAATTATTTTGGTCATTTGCAATCAGTTTCCTTTGCTGCTGCCTTTGCCCTTTTCATTCAGGTTTGTCTCAAGGAGGATAGTAGTAATTTCTTGTGTTTTTATTTTGTGGCAACCATAAGTACCTTTAATACGTCAAATGAATAAAATGTTTTGTCTGTTTATTGTGAACAAATGATGCTACGTATTTATTGAATATTTTGCTTTTGTCGCAGTATTTGAACTATATTTGAAATTATTCGTGCAACGTGAACAGTGCGTGCAGTCTGGTTTTCAAGCGTTTCGTTGACTTTTCTATGCAGTGTGA